ATTGGACTCAGCTCTTTTGATTTCTGGTTTCACCCTGTTTCAATACTCAGTTGGAGATCACGAAATGAACATCAAACCTGACGAGGATGAGGTCTTTCTCATTTTTTTTGCAACCCCCATGTTAACATAGAACATATTATTATTATTTATTATTATATATATATATATTATTATTATTATTATTATATATATATATACACATCCTACTACAATGGCCATACATCCCGATCCTTTTTCCGGCGCTGCCACCTGTCGGATGGTTTGATCGGTGAGGTCTTGCCTCGATCGCTCTCCCATTGGAGGATATTGGAGGGGGGTCCAAGGTGGTCTACCCTCTGGTAAACTAACACTTTGCTATGGAAAATCACCATCAAAATACAGTAAGTAATCATAAGTACTCAAGTAATCGGTAAGTCATTGAACTAAATGGGCCATGGCTTCCATAGCTATGTGGCTATGTGAGTTTACTGGATGGTAGGTTTTCCTATATATAAAGTCGTGATTTCTCAAGGAAAACAAGGACATTACTCTTTTTTAGATATTTAACAACTGGCTAAGCCAACTGGTGAAGGGTAGTTGAAGACTTTAAATCATGTTTCAGTCTTGCTTGGGGAATAAAATAAGTGTTTGAAGGCTAATCCCATTATGCATTTTGGAGCCTGAACTACTGTATGCAAATTGGTGATCTATCCCAGTTCTTAACACCTTGTATATGTAAGAATTTCATGATTACTCCGCGGTTAATCGCCAAATCGGTTTGAGTTACCCATTCATTCAGCACCCATTGTAACTTTGCCTATTGATGGTCCAATGATTAGCTGGTCAACGGATATCAATAGCATGTAATGTGGTAAACCATTCTAAACACACCAATAAACCATTCCAAATTGGGTTTATCATTGGGTATACTGCTACTCCTATATGAGATGAATTAAAATAACCCCGAATGGTTGATTAAATTATGATTGGGATTCCCCCACTTCAGCCAGCATAGCCTAGGCGCTGGCAAAAGTCCGCTGACAACACGTGCGAGAGAGGCAACTTCACCAGAACCTCGTCCTGCCGAGTCGTGGGGGCCGGGGACCAGAAGGATGTGGAGTTTATCATGAGTAAATCACTGGATTGGTTTAAGGGAAAATCTACAGGAAACCATGGTTTTTACCATCAAATATAGGGTTTTCCTGTAAATTTTCCCATAATCCAATTCTATGAGTAAAAACTCGGCATAACTCGGCTATGTCAATGGATTGCTTGAAGTGAAAATCTACAAAACCATTGGTCCTTTTGGATTTTAAACTATCTCGGGTGTCCTGCAGGTCTTCCATCCATTCAATGTTTGGGATTATAAGGCGTGGGACAAGTATGCACATATGACTGTCGGTTGTCACCACAAGCCAAATAATAGGATCTCTATAGACTTGTGCATTCAAATACAAGTAATTACTATATATACATTCACTACATAGACTTAAATAGCACAGGTACGTAGATAGGTATATCGGCATATGTATAAATATATATATATATACTATTTACATATATATATATGATATTATATATATAATTATATATAATATTATATACATATGTATGTATGTATATATATATATATATATTATATGTAAATCCAGATAATCCTGTACCCATATAAGGTGGCCCCCCTATGTATATATATCCAATTCTAAATATATCTTTGGTGGTCTATATAACAGTGATATATACTGTATATATATATATACATACATATGTAGATATAATATATATATATATATATCCAATTCTCCATTAGCTATGGCTTATGGTGTATAGCCACCCAGCCGCCAAGCTCCACCCAGGCGCCTTGTCCACGGCCATGGTCGTTTCTAAGCGTCGGTCATAGCGACCTGTGGGGAAGCCATGGTGTTTTACCCTAAAATCGTTGGGTTTCCAGCGTCAGTTTTCCCAGTTTTCCGTTGAACCAATTCTGGGATGATTTTGATAATCTTTGTTTGATGCTATTACTATCAAAATGTTTCTTCTTACCATTATAGTATTTGTAGTGATGTGTGGTGAGTGATGAGTGATAAGAAAGTGATGAGTGATGAGAACATGATGATAACGTGATGAGAAAGTGATGAGAAAGTGATGAGAGAGTGATGATAGTGATGATGGTGATGATGATGATGATGATGGTGGTGATGATGGTGATGATGATGATGATGATGATGATGATGGTAATGATGATGGTAATGATGATGGTTTTACTATGTTTTACTCATCATAGGGGAAATTCTGATGATTCCGATATTATCCGATGATGACGATGAAAGCCATACCTCAGTATCTATGACGCTATCTCCCTCTGCTTCCTGCCGCCGCCTTTTTCACTGAGGTAGTCTTTCACCACCTAGGAGGTCAGTGGACCACAAGATTCCCGTGCTGCTGACTCGGCACTGCTTTCAATGTTATGGGTTGATCAATTCTCAATGGGAAAGTTGGTGGAAAGTTGTCTCGGAAGGGGAAAATCCTTGAAGAGACATGCAAAGGTTGTTACCATGTTGCTACCTCAATGCTCCACACCCTTTGAGATCTGCCTTAGACAGCTCTAGGCTTAGGGCAACATCGTGATATTTTATGATATCTTGGCTTGCGATGTTGGATATCCGTATTTGTGTGCTTTCGCCAACATGGGATAATTATCAGCAACCTCAATTGGAATATGAACTCGCCAATGCAGAATCGTCGCATCATCTGGATGCAACATACCACTCCAAAAAATAACGAACTAGCGGGTTATATTTGGGTACAGGTCAAAGTTAAAAATACCCATAAAGGGGGTGGTTTACCAAAAAGGTTTATATAATTACTTAATGTTGCCTATAAGGGCCAAAATCCATGGTTACCACGGCTTAGAATAGAACCATTTACCACTGAAAAAAGCCGGTCGGTTGTCCAGCACCAGCACCGGGTCTTCGTGCCAACTTGGGGCTGACCCAACCGCCTGGGCCGCCTTCAATCCTGGGCAAAACTTGGAGGGATAAGTCTCACAGCACATCGTTGGTCCCCTCCGATTAACGCGGAGTTTTTCGTCTGCGACTGTTGTCAAGCATGTTTTTGCATCTGCTACTAAACGTCCTAACAGCTAGATCTTGACAGGGTGTTACCAGCCTTCAATGGCGCATGGTTCGCCACTACTTACATAGCAAATAGATTTTTATCGCATAAGTGGGGCTATTCTAACCCAACTCGAGTGTATAGCTTCACAGGGGAAATCACCAAAAAATGTTTCGGACGAGTTCTGGTCGCTTGAAGGCTTGGCCAGTGCTCATTCTGCTGCTTCCCACGATTGATGTTCAATTGGGTCTCATCACCCAAGCTACGGCTACGGATGGAACAAAGGAATATATGTGGCTGAATCATAGAATCCAGATATATATTAATTCACATTTGTACATTGTGTACATATGATACATCTATATGACATCTTTATTTACATAACAGTATTCCATTATAAGGCCATTATAATTATAAGGCTTATTTCCCAAATTCCCAACCAAGTTATGGGGCATCACTGAAAAGATGCCACAGCCTGGGTCTCCACACCAGTTTTTGAGGTTGGCAAACTGTTCCGCCTCGCTGACGCAGACTTCGGGTGGTCATCTGTGTCATGGTCCATGGCTCGTCATCATGTTCGTCACGAAATCCCCCAATTTGATCATCAATTGGTGATAGAAACCATCCCCAAATGGTAAGTCTATTACAGTATAGTTTATGATTGGCTTTCCCGCAGTAGCCTATTTTCAGACAATCCCAAAATCTTGTGCATGCGACTCAATGAAGTCTACTGCCATGATCCATAAAATGATATGACATGAATGTAAAAAGTTATAAAAAGTGGCAACCCCATGCTGTATAGATGACCCCATGGTTTATAAATGTTGATACAATCCGAGTAATCCTGAGTTTAAGTGCAGCTTCCTCACAGTTCATCCAGTTTCAACCATCAAAGCCTCCGATGCTGGGCATCCCGACTGTAACGGCGCTCGCCGTTGCGTTCCTGGGTTGTGGTTCTACATCCGACCCTGCGGCAGCCTGCGGTTCTTTACATCCTGAAAGAATCAGTACTCATTGGGACATCCCCCAAAAAGAGGTACCCCAAAATCGTCCTAAAATTCATTATCTTGCTATATTTTGGTATTGAGACCCTTCCGATGTTAGGACACACCCAATGACTATGACCCAAATACCCATGGCGTCACTCCGCAGCAAGCCACTTGTAGAGCTCTTTCTGCAAGCCGTGAGCGTCGTGATGGAACCACCTCCCAGTCCATATGGAAGCAGCGTCTGATCGCCACCAAGAAATGACCATTTCTCAATCCATTGTCAGCATCAGTGTCAGCATGTCAGCATGTCAGCATGTCGGGCCTGACGGGGTTCCATTCATCAAATTGAAGCGATATTATGCCTCAGCCGGCTTGGTGGAGTTGTGGAGAAAAAAAACATAAAGTCGGCCTACTTGTGTGTATGTACTACGTTGCATAGGCATACGATGGCATACGCCAACGGCGTCTGAGTTGGGAACCTCTACTGCCGAACATTCTGGAGCACCAAGAAATGATTTGTTGATTCCCTGCTAAGTTGTTTTCACATCTTTCGTTAGCCTATGTGGTAAACCCACCAAAACCACCAGAAACATCAGAAATTGAAGTGTATGACTGTATGACCATAATCCATCCAATCATATCCATGTTATATATGTTATATCAAGCGACGATCTTATATGTGTTGAGTTGCAAAAGTTACTTTGGTCAATCACCTTGACCAGGCTCTATTGAAGTTACTTATGAAAAAATACATCAATGATTAACAATACATGAATGTATATCTCAATCTATCTCCATATATAATCATATATATATATATATATAGAGAGAGAGATGCAGTGATGTTAAAACTCTCATGTTAGATGGGAACCCCCCTGTTGCCCAACCGCACCGTTCTGCAACGCTCAATTTGTTTTTGCAGCTCCCAACAGCCTTTAAGGGAGCTAGTTGGATGGTCTCTCAGGTAGCCACAACTCAGCCTCACTGTGGGGATGTCTCAGCCACACTGCATGACTCACTAGAACTTTTCTGCTAATGTGACAATACAATACATTCCGTATCGGAGCACCTTCCAAGATCATATATTATGAATTATGACGTTGTGCATGTAACTATCCATCACTATAGTCACCTTGCAAACATTGGTACATCATTGCAGGCCAAAACGCTAGCATGCCCAACAAAAACTCGGGTTGGTGCTTTGAACTCATCCTCCCCCCCAAAAAAAACTGTCATTCAATTGGGATCATCATCCCATTTTCAAACACAATATCTTAGAAGCCACCAGTCATAATGGTGGGTTATACTTGGTGTTATACCTCCATTTTTGAAGGTTTTATCGTTATACCCAAGTTTCGCTGGATTTTACCATCTGAACCCACCAACAAACCTCCTCCGCCCAGCCTTTGTTGTTGCCACCGTCTCGCAGCTCGAACACGCGAAGTGGCGCTCACAACGGCGCGGGCGTGGCAGGCCGCTGCGGAGCTCCCCAGGTCGCATCTAAAATCTGCCCTCGCCCAGCAGGCGGTGGTGCTGAAGGGCGGTGCATGCCGGGTGCGGCTGGGGGCGGCAAGAAGGGAACTGGGGGCAGATTTTGCCTTGGTGCCGTGGATGATGTGGCGAGGTGGAAGTGACATTACCAGGAAAAAACGGGTTGATGGATCCACTGATCATTGATGGATCCCATAAGTGTAGCCCAAAACAAAGGCTGGGAGGAGCTAAGGGTTCGGACATGCTGAAGGAAAACAAAACACGCAAAAGTGAAGATATGATACAACCAGTGCGAAGATTGTGACGCAACACCTGCATTTTCTGCGCCGGTGTTTTGAACCACTCTGGTTTATTCTGCGGTTCATGAATGAGCGCGACCCATAACCCATACATAAGCTTTCAATAAGATTGGTTGGTTGTTCCTCCTTGAGGGATGACTGACATTGAGTAATTATATAAAGTGCAATTCGCATCAATTCGTGCGCTTTGATTACCGGAACCCCTCTTACACATAGTCCCCTTGACTTGCACTTGAAGATCCCTCACGTATGATCACTCTTTACTGTTTAGTATCCGTTCTGGCTGTCGTATTTTCTATCCATGCAGCCGTCACGTTCTTTGAATCTAAACATGGCAAATTTCATCAGGGAAAACATGTTTCTCTCTGGCTTTTAGACACATAGATAAACAAACACATGGATGAACAAACAAACATAAACTTAAATCATAATCCAACTTCAAAGAAACAATAAATAAACAAAAACGAAAGAGATGAAACCACTTTCATCCACCGTCCTCTAACCCTCTCCGCCAGGACACTTTGGCAAGTTCGAAATGTTTGGAGGACGGTCCTGGGTCACACCAGGACTGGAAGGCACCCAGCAATATCTAAACCATCTAAACCCTCTGGTCATTTGTTATGATTCTTATAGCTCTGGAAGCCATGGCCCATGGAGTTCGCAGTTTTTTATATTAAAATTATGTTTTTTCTCTCCAAAGAATAGCCACTTAATTGGACCTTGGCTCTGGCTTTTAGTTCGCAAACGGTTGAATTTCAGCCAAAGCCAAGGATCTGGTGGCTGCGAAGGCTTGAAATTGCCTGCTCCATCATGACCAACCTCAGAGCCGGCTTGATATCCTTGGAACTTGGAGGATCATCCCAAGCCTCCCATCACCCAGCTGGTTCACCATATCTATATGGATTGGTTTAAGGGAACAAGTAGCAGGAAAACCCCAAAACATGGCAAAATCGATGGTTTCCGGTTAAGATTTTCCCTCCAACCAATCCATTGAGCAACCCAATTCTGGGAAAACGTCAGGAATGGGGACTTGCTAAGTCTCACTAACCCCTCAGTGGCATCCTCCAGTTACTGCCCATCTGCCCCCCAAACACATGTCACTAGGAAAACCATGGTGGACGCTAAGCAACTGCAATTGGATTCAACAATTACTGGAAACATCATTTCTTATATTTTCTGTTCAATGGGGAAAGATGGAAAGATGAGAAAACCAACGAAAATTGTATTCCTCTTATGGTTTTCCCAATCCAAGCAACTGGTATGATTTCAGGTTTTTGTTGCGCTTGCTCCAGTTTATGGTTCAAACGTCGGATCTCCGTCTTGTAAATCGCATTCTTGTTCTCCTTGGCAGCCGTGACCGGTGAACCCCTGGGTCACCTGTTCACGGTCACGCTTTGGTCACACCCAGGATCTTTGAAGAACTGGTTATGTAGTCTGTCTTGTATGCATATGAATCCATGAATATAAGTATATATATGTTAAACACATATTATACATATATATATATACATACATAGCATGCATATATATATATATATATGTGTGCATACATAGCATGCACATATATATATATATATATGTTGTAAATGTATACGATATAGTATGATATAGTGTATACAGTGTAATCTTGACCCCTGATTGGTGCGGCATCCCTTTCATTGTAGAAGGATCACTAAACATCTAACCACATAAATAAAAGGTAACGATCTCACCAAATATGCGTCCAGCATGTAGTCAGGCAAAGCTTTAAAGGAATGTCAAATCAATCAATGAGGGAGGTTGATGTATCTGAAGATTCCGAACTGTTCAACAACATGCTGGGTTTCAGGTTTCAACCACAGAAGCAAAGGAAAATGGAAAAAAATGGATTATCGATTCAAAATGGTTTAAACACATACCACCCAAAAAGGTTGGCGTACTTTGTTTATAACCACCGCCTTGCGCATCAAAACAAGACCGTCAGGATCAAAATCGGATCAATTATCAATTGCCATATTTCTTTTATGATGGTATATTGTTTCGATAAATTTAACCATATTATATGAAGCTAGATGGTTTCAAACAGTATGATCTCATAGAATAAAACCATCAACGTTGGAACATGGGCGCGAACTTCTTGTGGATTTTGGCCCTGCTGGTTGGCACAAACAACGGCTACCTCTTGCTATTTAAAATAGCTATGGAACATGGCCATTTAGATACCTGATTTACTCATTAAAAATGAGTGATTTTCCGTAGCAAGTTGTGTCACAAAAATGAGCAGAGGGTAGTAAAACCCAAAAAGCCAACCATCATTCTTTGGGAGTACCCTCTGGTAAACTAACATAGCTATTGAACATGGCCATTTATAGTGGATTTACCCATTACAAATGGTGATTTTCCAAAATTAGTTATGTTTGTTTACCAGAGGGTAAACATTCTCATTACTTTGTCCATATGAATTGACCAACCTCAGGGTGGGTTGGAGGCTTCCATCCCCTGGGAATGAGAAACTCATCACTCCTTGGAATAGAAATCACATATATATATATATACATAATACCCATTGAAATCAAAATAAATCACCAATTTTGATCGCATCAAATCAATTCTTAGATCAACATGCTCTCTCTCTCTCTCTCTCGCTCTCCCTCTCTATATATTTACATAGGTGTGTATATACTATATATATATTTATACACATGAAACATGAGATAATAAGAACAAATACATGAACTACTGAAATACGTAGAAAATCTGCAAGAACATCTTTACAGCAAACACAACGCCTCGTCCAGCCAAAATGCCAGATTCCTCTTCTCCTCTTCGAATGCTTTGCTTCGATGCTCCACCTGGGCTCAAATGCATCGGTTGCATCGTCATCTGCCACCCTCTGTTTTTTTGTTGCAAAAGGATGGAAATCACCATGTCTTAGGTAAATTATCTATAAATGGTCCATTGATGTAAACTTATCAAAGGGTTGCATATAATATGATATGATTCAATTTGGCATCCTATCATATCGTGCCATGTTCTATATCACAACATGGTTCGCATCATTTCATATCATATCATTCATCCCCAAAAAGCATTTAAATCATAAAGCATTATATTCATATCATCTTCCAAATATCTTCCAAATATCGTCTGCCATACATCATTTCACACCGTTAGAAGAACATGTGTGATATGAAATCATGCCATTTCATAACTAGATATTATATAAATTTCGAGCATCCCAATTTGTGGTGGCTCCCTCAACATTGATCCGCATGAACCACAACACTTTCTGTATTGTGACGTCGTTCAAGCTCGCCAAATACTATCGCAAACAAGTGCGGAAATACTGCGAGAATCATTCTCGGAATCGCAAGTACAGTAATAGAATGCGATGAGATTGACTATCATCTACAATCATATGGTTTTAGAATTTGTCAGCCACTAATTCCAACAGTGCTTTTCCTGGCAACTGGCGGATACAGGGGCAACAACAGTGGCTGAACTAAAATGCCCAAGTCATGTTCAATGAACCACTCACTGAGTCGGGCATTTGAGTGCATATGGGTGAAGGGAGTCCCGTTGTCACATCTAGTAATTCCGCATTCAAACAAATTAACGCACAACATGACAGAGGTGGTCATATTATATGTCAACCATCATTACTGAAACATACATATATGGGTGTTTCCTAACGTATGTTTACCCCCAAATCATCCATTTGTAGATGGGTTGTCCATTATAAATCATCCATTTTGGGGTACCTTCATCTATGAAAGACCCCATATAATTCTTGAACCACTAGATTTTGAGCAGCAGGTGCTTCTCTCGGGGAGTGTTGGCAACTGGCTAGTCTTGGGGTATAGCACCCCTCCCCCCAAAAAAAGAAATAACAGCCTACCAAAGTATAGTTTGATTCTAGCCTAATATCTGTAACAATCAGTAAAAGGGTTTTGTTTATGGGAACCCCTCCAAAAACTAGGCTTCCCACAAAGTACAGTATAGTATATATTCCCCAAAAAAGACAGAATCATACCATAAATCTCAAGTGAGTATAGTCTAAATTTCTCCATTCATGGCCAAAAAAATAACACCCATACATCTACCCTTCACCACGGTTCAACACAATAAACTCAATCCGAATGGGTTTGTCTGCCACTGTTCAGGATGATGCCTATTGTTACGCCAAATGGGTATGTATGAAGATAGAATACCCCAACATTTGATGGTGAACCAAGTGAACCATAGTTCGCCCCATTTAGAATATTTAGATCAATTAAATTACAATTTTAGGGGTTTAATCCCCATTTTCAGACATACCCACATGGTTGGCTCATGGATGTTCACGGGTTGATTTATTGCAACCCCCCAAAAACGATAGAAACTCAAAATCCTCTTGAGATATTGGTTACCCTCTGGTAATTTAACATAGCAATTGAAAATGGCCATTTATAGTGGAATTTCCCATTAAAAATGGTGATTTTCCATTGCTATGTTAGTTTACCAGAGGGTAAATGACTTGTATATCTTGTCAGTGCACACTCCCGTGACATCTTGCCACACCTCCTGTTCTGCGAGTCGAAGCCGTTCCATTGCAGCCTTCACCGCGTTCACTTTGGCCTCACAGTCCTTGTCCTCAATGGAGGGCTGACCATGAGGATATGATGTCTGATTTGGCTCACGGAAATGTATCTGCTATAGCTGGAGAGTCTGGAGAGGCAATGTTTTCTCCAATCCAAGACCCATGGAACCACTGATAAATAATTGTGGTGCATTCTTCCTAAAGTATGTCTTAGCCTTGGTGGATTGTGGATCCCCAGTGTTTACCCTGGGAAATATGTTAAAACAACCCCATTTATCTGGGCCCATGTTCAACCCTGAATCTAAGATTTCTACTATATATATATATATATGTGTGTGTGTGTGTGCACGTTTAATTTCTAACCATTGTACGTATTCCTCAGAGATACATTTATCATCATTTATCCATATGTCACGGGTCCAGTTACACACCTCTATCCAGCTCCATGACAAGCCATGGAGAGGTCCTTTTGGTGCAAGTCGTTCAGCTGCCTTTGGATTTCTTGATGCTCGTCTTGTTTGACACCTGGTCTCACCCCGGGTTGCCCAAAAACGCTTACGGCGGCGATAAAACGATGGGGAATTCAACAACCTAGAAACTCGTTGAGAATTGACCATTACACATATGTGATATAATAATAATAATAATAATAATAATATATATATATAGACGTGTGTGTATTTATGCAAATATATATATATATATATATATTTGTATTTATGTTATAATCTGGAAATTACCGGCCAACATGGGCATTTAAACATCATCTACAGCGTTTGTAACTTCTCGGCAAGCCTTGGTGAAATTGTGCGTTCCAAAAATGGGGGAACCACGGCAGCCATGACGGCATGGAAGCCATGTTATGAATTCACGAGAACTCCATGCCAATTTCAGGAGGGTGCCTTCAAAAGTCAACCTATTATATATATATATATATACAGTATTAATATTAATAATTAACAATAATGTTATACAATTGACAATGATACTACACACAAATATGTATGTATATATATATATATTATATATATATATATTATATACGAAGATCTCAACTGGCCAATTTTGACAAGACAAAGAACTGCTGACACAGCTTGCGATCCCCCCTGCAGCATTTGCCCTGCGTAAGGGCTGCTGCCCAGCTGCGGGCGTGTGATTGGAAATCCCTGTCCTTGGCTTTCACCTGACAGGGGGCGCGAGTGAAGAATTTTTTTTCCTCACCCGGAACAACATCTAAGAGGACTAATCACATTCGGAAATAGAATGTATCGAATACAACCAGTTAACAATCTGGCTCTTTGCCGAATGCTTTCACCATGTTCTATGCTTTCCTGAATGTGAACAACGTGTTGAAGAGCTTGATCGTTTGAGGATGTTTGAGGTGTCCTGAGGGTGCACTTGGAGACCATGGATCGTTTCAATAAGGATATTGGGGAGCTACTCTAGTTACTACGCTAGTTGTGAGACTTTTTTGCCAGCCAATGACCAGGCAAACCGTATCCGTAGCCCAAACGTGTAGGAATATTCATCATCAAAAGCGAAACATACATATGTTACTGTACATGAATGTGATATGCACCACAACCCCAGGGGAAGAGAAAAAAACAAAGAACACAAAAGGAGTGATATTGGTATTAAAATGTAATTATTAAAGATATTTAAAGATCATCTTGACAGCCATATTGGTTAACCTCAGCCCATTCTTCGGTCCTGCCGTCCTGCCAGGGTCAAGTGGATCAACCCCACGGCCGGCCCCGGTCACCTTCTCCTCAAATTCTTTGATTTCGCGCTCTTGGCGGAACAAACCTCCAGCATGGGCTATGCAGGGCTATGGGGACCATGGTCATCCCATGTCATCCCCAAAAAAATGGGGTTCCTTTCCCCAAAAAATGGATTGATTGCAAAGGATTGCAGACAAATAGAAACATTGTTGAAGGAATGTTTCTGGCCCAACTCTGAGCTGAGATCCCCAAACCTCTGTTTTGGTTGAGTTGCCGGGGAAGTTTTCATCGGAAACTGAGTGGATTCTGCCACTGGAAACTGAGACATGACCACTGACCCAAGGGCATCCAAGGACTGGATGATGATGCCACTGAATCATGTCCATCCTAACGGAAAATAGTCCTTGGGGGATATATGTAATTTGATATTGGATATATAATGTATGTAATATATGTAATATATGTAATATATGTAATATATGTAATATATGCCAATATCAAATTCCATCAAACATCACAGTCACATGGGCCCCAGAAAATTATTAGATCTACTAGACCAAACCAACAGTTCTGGCTAAGGGATTGCTGGCAATTCCGGCCAGCAAAGGAAGACAGCTGTCAAATCTGTTGATGAAATTCATGAAATCGTCATTATTTCCAGACTGAATGAACATGTCATTGGATTGGTTCAAAGGAAAATCTATATACAGGAAACCATGTTTTTTTCCAATGAATTCATGGGGGTTTCCTGCAACTTGTGCATTAAACCAATCCAATGAACATGCAACGGCGATAAACGAGAAAAGCAATGTGTTCCCTAGCAAATATGTTCCTCCGCCAGGGAAACTTCCAAAAACTTCTCAGCGGCCGCAGTTGCAGATTAGAGACCCACTTGTTTGTGCTTGATCTTCACCTCGTGTTGATCATTGCTGTGCCTCCAGTTGCAGCACAGACAATTATATAACTGAAGCTGCTGCAGTGACGTTCCACCTCAAACATCTCAGTCATCTGGGGAGAAGTCTCCTAAACATATCCAAATCGGAGTCTGGAAAAAAAACGAGAGATTGAAATCACAAGCACCAGCTTTGGGCAGTTTGGCGTGACACTACTCCCTGAAAAAAAAGTGGGGCTACGAAACTATTCATAATCCAAGAAAACATCATGCACTCCTCAATTCCAACACTAATCTATACCCATTACCAACATGTATACCTGCAATGAGGCAACTGTCACCACCAACTCATCCAACTCATCCCATAGTGACAGTTACATGCTGTCACAATGATCTTGGATACCTTGCTACTCTTAAAGCTGGCAATGCAGAATCCCTCCGTGACTTTCATCATCTTTCATATTTTTCATATATGTTTATAAATCACTGTCGCCCGCCCCAAGAAAAACAACTGCTTTCCCATTCCCAGGTGAGATATGGTGGGATAACATGGCGAACCCTTTGGTGCTCTGAGGAAAAAAAAACATCCATTGGCATCTTCCCAATTTATGGCTCAAGATCAACATATAATGGCGTACTACCCGGGGTCCATCCAATGACCAAGGGATACCAGGTATCTTGGGCAAGGCGCATGGCGTACCGGATGCGGTCCGCAAAGCTTTTCATGTTCTCCGCGTTGTATCGCAAGCTGTTTCTCTGGCGTTCCGTGTTGGCACTCTCAGCCTGCCTCGGCAAAGACAAGTCTTGAAGGTTCACCTGGCTTTATTGCAAACAAATGGGACGGGGCTACCACAAGTACAATCACACCAATTGGGGAGATTCTTAATCCTCTATTAATCTATCATTGGGGGTCACCGAAAAGAGAAGTAACCCCATGATTTCCAATGAGACCCTGTTTGTTTTTATACCACTATGACTTTTGTGTCCAAACATTTCGATCCACTTTTTTATGGTTGTTGGGTTGGTTGAACCACCTTGAAACCCTACGTGGGGATGCAGTTGAAGTGATTTCTATACGTAGTTGTTGTGTTTTTTTTAGTCGCGTTTGCCGCAGGTTCTTTGCTTTGGGTATGTTCATGGAAACAACTTCCATAGGTTAGGATATACCCCTTAACTATGGTCATATACCCACCTAAATGAAATGGACCTGCAGCAGTGTACCATCCCCTGAATACAACATACTCCTTGTACCTCTTAGTGATCCGAAAATAAATAGATCCAATAATACATGGCACCGAGGGTGACTAGGGCTGAACAGACTCGAATAGATGAGATGATCAATCTGATGATCTACCCTCCAGGACTCAAACATGGCTGCAAAACCCTTCATTTGGTTCCATCATATTCTCATTAAAAATCTTTAACACCTCCATTAATTTCATTTCATTTCAGGATTTTTCCCATTCAAGCCTCCATGTAGTTCGATAAGATTGTCCGACAAAAAAAAAGAAAAATGCATCCCCAAATTTGAGGATTCTCGGCTATTCCCGAAATGGATGTTTTCTATGACCCCCATAGTGAATGAATGTTAATATATATATATATTTCTGTTAATGGGATGGTGCAAATGGCAGGCTTTGTGACAAGCCGCAGCTCGGCTTCCTTCATCTCCAGCTGCTGCTGTCGGCGTCGCAGTTCTGACTCCCACTGCTCCATCGAAGGCGTTCCGCCAGCCGCGGAACTGGATGGGCGACCGGTCTCCTGGTGAGTTCATGGTGAGTTCATGGTGTTCGAAGTCTGTGGAACCATGTTTTTTTGTGCTTTACAGTAATGATATTTAATGCTGGTGTACGGTATAATGGTGATTCATGTGATTCTATGATGGTCTCGTGATGGTTGAATGGTCGACTGTGTTGAATGATTTTGTGATCTAACGGGCAACCAACCATTGGAATAGAATGGCAAAGAACTCAAATGAACTAACTATATATATATATATGTATATATATATATATATTCACTATATGTCGCTCATCGCTCACCTACCCGAGAGATGCGTGGGCGTGAAGGAAGGACTAATATATATATATATTATATATATATATAGATATATTCACTATAGACTATATGGGTGTATTTGAAAATCATTGGCAATGGCGTAGACCCGCCATCTAGGCAATCTTAATAAGGATAATTATGACTTACCAGTGGGTGAATGGGAAGCTGTACCCAATTCCAAACAAAATAGCATGCAATTGCCTGTGCTTTTCATTCTAGCAAGAACATCGAACTCTCCCTTATTTGTACGGGCATACTTAATCATGTCAGACACAACTCTTGATGATGGTTGAGCTTGGCGAGGTAGAAAATAAAAGGTAGATTTTAGCAAAATCACTAGCGTCTGCTTTGGAAGGCCTAAACACATATATACATAATTACACACACATATATATATATATTATAAATATTATATATATATATATGTATAATCATTTATGTGCATACATGATTGTGCCATGAAGAGATGCAAGGACGGTGGATGCAGCATCTCATCGTCAGGTCACGATTATGGCACAAATCTTCAAGTCATCCTGCATGTTTCACTGTTTAGGTTAATGCATCCCCATCTATGAACAACTGCGGCTGGATTAAACTGATCCTTTCCCTAATACTTAGTTACACCCCTATCCTATGGTTTCAAATATTGTATGGTTTTAATCCCTTACATCCACCATGGTTTCGATTAGGGCTGTTTAATACTGTGGGTGGTTGCGGAATCCTGCGCCAGTAGGTCTCTCATCAATTTTTCATCCCATGAATTACGGTGTTTCAGAAGTTTCATAATACATCGCAATGGTTCAGGGTTTCTATGGGAGGACCCCAAATGATCCAACCAGCTTATACACCATCTATAAACCATCTATAAACCATCATAAACCCTCTATAATTTTCCATTATAATGAGAATTTCAATGGCTTTTTCCATCATAAACCATCTGTTTTAATCGGTCCTCCGGTCCCGAAATCGTCCACCGCCGGTCCATCCCAACTCCTCACGGGAGTTGCAACGAGGAGCCGTAGCTTCCAAGGCGCCGAAACCCAAACCAAGGCCTGGTAGGGTGCCTCACGTGGTCAGAGTCATCTGGCGACCAGGCTACCACTTTTTCAATACACCTAGTGACCATGAATTGATGACCTTTCATCTGTATTCTAAACTACTGGTATTCTCAAGGATATTTTTATTTAATTCATCCAGGTTGTGCAAGCAACAAGTAGGTCGATGAAAAAAGCAACACGTTATCATCTGGATATATCTGGATATAGGGTTTGTTGGTGTCTTGCATGTTGGTATCAACACTCCAATTCTGGAGATTGGAGTGTCAATCATTTTGGGCCATACCCAAATGTGGGGCACTTTGCAGCTACCACCAAAGACAAACTGGTTTCAAACATTTTCCAACATCAAAAAACGGTCATAAACTTTGGTGTTGAAACCAACTCAAATTATCTCAATTTTGTGGTGACCTACCATCTATCATTGCATGCTAACTTCTGAAGGTTCCAATCCAAGTTTTATCCATCTAATATGCCGGGAAAAAAAGGTATGCCGGTATGCCTGTATCTGTATGCCTTCACATGTGTAGAAGCATGGGGCACTGGAACGCTGGATGAATTAGAACAACGAAAACATGGGCCGACTGAACGTTTCACATTTTGATCCACTCATTCACACTGTGTGTGATTGTTGTACTACGTGTCTCTTTTGGGGTGCCCCGCATATTGTATGGACAGTTTCAAGATGACTATATTGACTATATAACAATTAGCAAATTTGATTCAGGATCTGTCGGGCTTAGGGCGAGCTTGTGACCCACATCCAAATAAAGCTCTTTGAAGACCTGCAATCATAAACACATATAAACACGGTTGGGCCGTCCGCCAACCATGGTCCACAAGGAAGTGATTTAGAAAGGTGATTGGTGGGGCACCTCTGGGACTCGGCGGGATTTGACATCCATCTATAAAAAGAAACCACGTGGCAACCACCCTAGAATCCTGGGTGACTTAAAGAACTTGTGGCAAGCCATTGAAAGTACCACCATATCTGTCGAGTTTGGACCCCATGTCCCTGGTTTCACCTGGTTTTTCTTAATTATCTTATATAGCTATCTTAGTTTCAGGTCAAACTCATCGAATCTTGGTTGATGAATTCTTGGGGCTCAAAAACCTGGACCAAACATGGCCATGTCATCCTTCTGGGTGAGCATCACCCAGCAAATTGGCTAATGGATGTTCGTCCCAACTAAAATGAAAAAATATTTTTAGATATTTTTAGCATGTTTGAACCATCCCCACGTATGTGCTAGGGTCAAAGAACGGAATATGCGGCATGCTCATCCCACCATCATTCGGATTTTTCATGCTACGTACATTGGTAACTGTAACTCAGTTTTAACTTTCGCTAGTCGACAAATGAGAATCCTCGAAGAGTTCGGTAAAAGGGCTTTGACATTCTGACTGTGGCAGATACATTTTTTAACAAAAACATGTTACACACACACACACACATATATATATATATATTATAAAATAATATATATATATATATAATTATATATACATATAGATTGGCATGCGGGAATACTATAACCTCACACAATCCATACACTCCCCACTAAGATCAATCAAACATGACAATCAACGGAACATTTCGCGACCCGCGCGCCGGCCTTGGCCGAACGGCGACCCCTCTGTGCCAAACCAGGAGCGTCGACCGCCTTGATTGCCGTTCAACAGCGCTATAGCGGCAGTCTCATGGAAGATGCATTTGACCATTGCAGCATTATAAAGGAACAAAACATAACAAAACAGTATATCCCATCAAGATTTTGCGTTGACATGTTTGATGGCCAGAGGATGCCACACATACATACCGAGGAACATCAACTGCTCATATAATATAATTACTCATATACTTTATCCTTGTAATATTCATGTGAAGTCCAACAATATGTGAGGATGTTTCAGGTCTACAGAGTCTACCTGCCAACCAGCCAGCACGCGCTCTTTGGTCAAAAGCATCAGCCACAAAGCACCGACCCCACGAATCTGAACCCCAGAAGAGTCATGTTGGAAATCGAACAGACGGAATTGGCCATCCATTCGCGGGGATTGCTAAACTATGGGCCTCTTCATAGGCAACCCCTTTTTGGATTTAACATGATTTGGATATCATGGTAAATCTTTGATAGTCCACAAAAATATTTTGCTGATGATGGTCATTTTCCATTTATATTCATATATAATTCATATAATAATATTTATAGCAAAAAACGAAAGGGTTAAACTACCCATCCAAGGTTGGGGATGATATGATTGAAATCTTCTGTCAGCCTACCGAAAACAACCTGGCAGGACCCGGCCATGAAACTCTGTGAAAGTGTGCCACTGGAAATTTGGTGATTTCAAAAACCAATCCTGCCTTCCGTTTGCAAACCGTCCTGGCGTTGCAAACTTGGCAAGATAAAATGGGGGTCAAGAATTATGCGGGTTGGGACCACCAATGAGTTGACTACATTTGTCTGTAATAAACACAGATAAACAGATAAACGCTGTATATATACTTGGGGTGTAGGATTTTGAAGGCCCACATCAGAAACAGTTTTTTCTTAATGTTGCACGGTTCCACGTGCTCTCAGGCAATGGTTGGATAAACAGATGGGATTAGTGTAGATAAAATGAGATGAAATTTGATTCGACATTGGACTATATCAAGTAGCCAAGTGGATGGAAATAAAGAAATTTATACGCATGACACCATGTTTCCTGGGAAACCCTAGGGCTGCAGGGACAAACAACTGGTATATACAGTATAGTGATAGTGTAGAGAATTACCACACCACGGGTGGCATACATCATGGTCTCAAGAAACTCATTACATCAGGCCAATTGAGGCAAGATCCACCTGCGGCAACTGAGATCCCAATGATTTGGTTTTGCTGTCACAGAATTTGTGCTGGGCAGTTGATGGCTCCTTCAAGTTGTCACCCCGGACTGGCGTTATCAGCCCCAACATCCACTGAAGTCTGTACTTACTTAATGTTGATTTCTCTTGAGGCCATGCCATGAAATGCTTGGGAACCTGAAAAAAAGTTCCCGCGTTCTCTCTCTAATGTACCTTTGAAACCAGAGGCCCATCACATCCCTAGTTTTGTTGTCATTATGTAATCTTTGCGGCAATGTTCATACGGAACAAGGAAATCTCAAACGACCTAGGAACACACAGCTGGCGCCTGGAACATCGAGGCCTCGTACCCGTCGCCGCCCGCGTAGGCCGAGGCGCCAAAGGATTCACCTTGGGAGTTTCGCCCGGTAAGATGACATTTGATGCAACAAAAAAATCAAGGAAATATCAACCACAGAATTCTGGTCCGCATCAAACTTGATCAAAACGCATGTGATGTGAGTGCGTGGGTCTGTGATTTATATAGCTGGGGGTCTCTTGCTTTGGTCGCTTTGGAAATATATCTCCTGCATCGCCAGAGCTGTGACTATTTTCATTGTTTCTGAACATATTGCTAGGAGCGCCAGCTTGTCAAAACAAACCACGGCCAAAAGTGGTGCTAATAACATATACATGCAAAGGTAAAATCTACCACAATTTCATATATATATATATATATATAGGTATGCCTCGGAAACCACTAAATGATTTTG